CCGCAAATAACACTGAGCGCTTACCATGAGCTGGAGGCCCCGGGGAGCTAGTGGGGTGCAAGCACAAACAGCCGGAGCATCATAGGGAAGCGCTAGGGATCTGGAGGCTGGGGCACCTCTCCCCCGGGCCCTTGGACGCATCCCTGTGCCCCCCCATGTGAGTGAGGGCTGTGCATTTTCCTGAGTGTGGAGCATGAAAGGGGGAATTGGCAGCTACCTCACCAAACATGCCTTGCACATTCTCTTCTGAAGACCTTCTCCCGGCCCCCCGGGCCCCCTCTCTGATGCTCTCCTAACTGCCTCTCCTGGGAGCTCTCTGCTTCCTCCTCGGGCTCCTGCGCTAGTCCCCTGCTCCCCCCTCACCCCCACCTCTCCCCTGTCTGCCTTTCAGGCAGCTGATTGCTCTTCTAGCTTTTGCCTTCAAATATGCAGGAAGCCTTGCTTGCTGCCACCAAGCTCATGTCACAGCCATCCAACGTTCTGGACCCAATCTGGGGTGCCTTCATGCAAAACAGCACTCCAATGGCATTTAGGGGTGGATTCAAAGTATAAGGAAAGTCACATAAATGGTAACCCCCAGTTTTAATAAATCGGTCATTTCCTCTGATGGGGGGGGAATGATCTCAAGGAAGGGATGTACTCAGGAGTGGGAGGCGGGGAAGGCCTGCGCTAGTGGGATGAATCATCCTGATCTGCTGCGCACCAAGGGGTCCCAGGCTGCAGAACTTTCTGTACTGAACCAGATGGGACAACTTGACCACCCTAGGCTGTGCTCCATCTGTGGTGCTTTATCTTTTAAGGACGGGTATATGGGACTTTGCTACATTATCTCTGTACCTTTTTGTAGACTTAGAACATTTCATTGTGAAAAAAGGAGAGAGAGAGAATCTCTCCCGAGGCATGTGTGTTCTGGGGGGGCTCCCAAGAGAAAGTCACTGATCATGTGGGGAGATCAGAGAAGATTTGTAGGAGGTACTATTGAGGTGAAGTTTGAAGTCTAAGTGAGCATTCCTCCAGCACTTAACCACTTTGTTCTGGAATTCTTTTCCTGCCTCTCCGAATACCTCGCTAAGCTGCTGGCTTCAGCAGAACAAGGACCGAATGTCATGGCTCATTTTACGTGTCAGCCTGGCTGGGCCACGGGGTGCTCGGATCATTTGGTTAAACATTGAATCTGGGGAGTCTGTGAGGGTGTTCGTGGATGAGATGAATGTGTGATTGGGTAGACCGAGTAAAGCAGATCCCCTCCCTGAGGTAGGTGGGCCTCGTCCAACCCGTTGAAGGCCCAGAATAGAACAAAAGGCTGAGCAAGAAAGAATGCTTTCCCTCTGCCTGACTGTCTTGGAGCTGGGACATCGTTCTTGTGCCTTCGCTCTCAGACTCAAGCTTATACCATGGAGGAGGCTCCTGAGTCTCCAGCTTGCCCACGGTGGATCTTAGACTTCTCAGCCTCTATAATCACATGAGCTAATTCCTTATAATTACCATCTCTCTAGCTATCTATCCATCTATCTATCTCCCAGGCTCTATTCTATTGGTTCTGTTTCAGTGGAGAACCCAGACCAACACACAGGGCCTGGTACTTCCATCCCCAGCACCTAGCCCACACCCTCCATGCATGGTAGGTGTTCCACACACATCTGCTGAAGGAAGACACAGAAATGTAGACAGTGGGAACTGCATGGGGTGTGGACTTGTGTGGGTCCCTGGCTCATTTGGTGAGCAGAGAGAGACTGGTGTGGCCAATGTGCCGAGAG